CAATATTTGTAAAACTTGTCTTTTTTTCTTATTATCCTTTTTTTTAGATCCTCCAGACTTATATATATATATATATATATTATATATATATATAATAAAAAGAGACATTGGGGGATGTAAATGATTTAAGGGAAAGAAAGCTTACAGTAATCAATGCAGAAGAAAACAAAACGGACTAAATCAAAACGTCCAAATCACAACGGAATAAAAATTGTGTAAAAATAGATTTGATCTTTTTTTTCTATTCAGAGAAAGAATCTCATCTTTAAGGTGAGAAGCTTTCCCACGTTCTTAGTGAATTAATGATCCTGATCAGATAATAAAATTAATGACAATATAAGGTTAATAACAATTTACGTTTTATATTCAATGTTCATAATAAAACAAATCATAAATTATATTTAAATATAAAAACATAACTTTTTCACCAAGTATAAATGACATGGATGAAACAAGAAATAAGAGCTTTGGAACTAGTTCTATAAGATTGTGAATATCCGATGCACTAGCATGGCAATAACTGGGGTGCAGGTACCACATTCAACAATCATGTCCCCTTCTTGTTCAGAGATTCCTTCTTCCATATTAACATCTGTATCAACACCGTGTTCTTTGATACAACCACTTCCAGATGCATGGTTTTGAGACCTTCGGAGCTTCCAATTTCAACAGCCACAAGTTGTGAATGTGATTTCACTACACTGTTCACATCATCTCTGTGTTAGCTTCATGACAACTGTCTGTTACTACTTTCAGCACAAAAGCCTCAGGATACGGCCACTCAGTCAATGTTCTCCAACAATATTCTGGAGAAAGCACAAACTCATTGATCAGGAGATAGGGTTTGAGGTGAAGTTTGACATCTCATTAGATGGACGACTCAGAGATTGGAAGGCTTTAGGCGCAAACCCTTTCCCATCCTTGATCATTTTTCCTTCCTTGTTAAACTTAGGTTTTTAACTCAGGATGTAAAATCCAGCATTTTTCCCGTACGTGCCCCTTGGTGTTGCAGTATGTGCATTTCCAGTCAGCTTTCCTTCCATTAGAAGGCCTTTCACTAGTGAAGTTGTGGTTACTAGTGAAAACCCTAGCTTCTGGGCTAGACCGGGGCTCAACATGCATTACTTTCCTTCGAGTTTCTTCTCTTTGGACTGCATGACACACGTTGACGAAAGATGGTAGCTCAGGGGTCATTAGTAAGTGGCTACGCAAGTCTTCATACTCAACTCCCAAACTTGCCAATAGTTGGAACACTTTATCTTCATCGGCCCTTTTCAAGAGTACAGCGGATTCAGTGGTGTGTGGACGGTATAGATCAAGTTCATTCCACATAGATTTCATGCTTCCAAGATGCTGAATGAAAGTTTGATCACCTTGCTTAAGCCCAGCGAGGCTTTTCTTCAGTTCAAACACACGAGCAGCATTGTGTTGACTGCCGTACATTTCCTTGATCGATTCCCATAAGATGTTTGAAGAATCTGAGTAGCTGAAGATCTCGGACAACTTGGGCTCCATTGAGTTTAAGTATCCAGGACATAACAAGCTGGTCATTTGAGTGCCATGCATCAAAGGTAGCTGAGGAAGACTCTGGAGGCTTGGTGGTTCCATTTACGTACCCTAGTTTCGATCTTCCTCCTAGGGCAAGAGATATAGCTCGTGACCACGGCAAGTAGTTGAACTCATTCAACAACACAGAGCACAGTCGTGGGTTGCTCTCCCGTGTATCATGTTGGCTGGTGTTGGGTTAAGGAACTTGTAGCCTTATAACTAAATGAGATATCTTCTGCCATCACAACAAATGATGAACAGAGAAAGAAGAACAAGCTAGAAGGATAATCAACAGAGGCAGGACCCTATGGTTCCTGCTCTGATACCATGTTGAAGTTTTGGTTTCAACTTTGTTGTTTCAATCTTATTATCTGCTGCAATGGCAGCATTGTTTATATACATTTTACATACACGCATGCAATAAAGAAAAGCAATACAGGTGTTGTGCTTGCTGTCATGATGCAGCAACTAGAGAAAAAGAAAAACAGCAAACCATGTGGTAGTACCATGTGGTAGTCTATCTGTCAAGGAATATACAACATTCCTTTTTACGAGCAATATTCCTTCTCTCCATACTGTCCTAGCTGTCAATATCATATTCCCTCTCTCCCATACTGTCCTAGCTGTCAATAACAATGCTAAAAAAATTGAACCATATTTTTTGTCTATTATTTGGACCATAATTTGACAATTTACATCGTTCTATCAAAACCCTCTCGGACATGTTATGAGATAGCCCATATTGGTTTGTGATCTTCAAATTTGATGATAATTAAAAGCACAATGGTCACACGCATTGTGTGATGAAAAATCATGTGGATGAGTGGAAACCTAGTATTTGATGGAGCACTATATAAAGAAGGGCATGGACAAATGAGACAGTCTTCCAAAGAAATCGTATTTTCCTCAAAGCTTTTCCAATAGAAGAAAATATCAAATTTCTCTCAATCTCAAGTAGTTTCGATGAAATAGTACCATTACTCCTTCAAGCTGCTTCGTCACGACAAACATCTGAAAGACGGATGTATCTGACCTTTCAGATGTTCGTCGTGACGAAGTAGATTGAAGGAGTAATGGTACTATTTCATCGAAACTACTTGAGATTGAGAGAAATTTGGTATTTCTTCTATTTGAAAAGCTTTGAGGAAAATATGATTTTTTTTTAAGACCGTCTTATTTGTCCATGCTCTTCTTTATATAATGCTCCATCAAACCTAGGTCTACACTCATCCACATGATTTTTCATCACACAATGCGTGTGACCATTGTGCTTATAATTATCCTCAAATTTGAGGGCAGGGGTCTGGAAGAGATTTGAGGGCTGACATTTTTGGGTTTTCAAGATGCTAGAGAGGAGCGGAAATGGTGTTTGAGGAAATGAGAAACGAGTGGAGGGGCATTTGGCTATGGGCTCGAGGTGTTATGGTTAGAGAGAGGGAAGAAATGGCAGCTAGGGTTGAATGGAGGAAACTACATTTAAATAAGTAACAACTAGGGTTTTGTCGACTGTGTGGCTTCATCTGTATTGGTTGTGTGCTTTTTGTGCCTGCTGGCAACCTGGCAGGTCATGGGTTCAACTCCCCCAAGCACGGAAATTTTGCTTCGTTTCCCAGTATTTTTCCAGCACCTTTGTTTCGTTTCCCAGTATTTTTCCAGCACCTCTGTTTCTTGGCACTAGGTCACAACTTCGAACCATCTCAGTGTGTCCACTTCCATTCCCTTTATTTATTTATTTTTTGTTTTGTATCATTTTATAGTTTGTTCTGCTTTATCTTGTGTTTTATTTTCTAGTTTTATTTTTCGTCTTTCTATTTCTAGTCAATTAAGGTAGTTGTTTATTTTTATTTTGTTATTTTAGTTTTTTTTTCTGCTTTTATTTTATTTTTCACACCTTGATGACAATGTGTGATTTGAGTTTGGGGTTGGAAAATAGATTTTTTTTTTGAGTCAAATAAGGCTTCGAAATTTGATTTACTAGACCTAGATAATTAAATAAGGCTTCGAAGTCCTTATTTCTGTTATAGATATTATTAAAGTGTAATTGTGTAGATCCTAGATAAATTTGATTATTAGTTATTCTTTCTCTAGTAGGTTAGTATCTACCCGAGAAGATGTGATATAATCGTCTGAGTGAGTATTTGATAAGTTGGGAATATGTGAATAACGACTATGCCTTTGCGAGTTCATTAAGAAGTCATATTTTGGATTTGCAATCATTGCAGTTTATGTCGACAACATGAATCTCTTTTCATGCTCACTCCCGTGAGCTCTCCTTATCCTTCGTCTTCAAAACCTTCAACAAATCAATCACAAAATATTATTTTTGTAATCCATAGAGCTCAAGGAACCCAACCATGGCCTTGCATGCGCATCAGTGCACTAGATCCGACATCTCCTTTGCTGTCACTTTTTTGGCAAGATACATCAATGCACTCACATGTATACACTAGACAAGTGTTAAAGACGTCTTCCGCTACCTTAATGGTACGACGAATTTGGGTTTGTTCTATCCCTACAAATCCTTGAGAGGTGCTGCAACTCCCTTTGGTTCTTGAGTCGATTTCCACTTTGTTGGGTATGCTGACGCGGGGTACTTATCCGACATGTACGTGGAACACTCTCAAAAGGTTTACGTCTTTACCTTTGGAGGCACCGCAATATCTTGAAGGTCAACCAAACAAACCTTAGTTGCCATTTTTTCGAACCATGCTAAGCTACTTGCCTTGCATGAAGCTACTCGGAAATGCTTCTGGCTGAGACCAGTTGTGGGACATTTTCGAAGTACTTGCGATCTTTCTTTTGTCGTTGACGTCCCTATAATGATATTTGAAGATAACGCATCACGTATCAAATAGCTCAAGAAGGGATACCTCAAAGGAGACAACACCAAGAACATTACGTCGAAGTTCTTATCACATCAGCAATAAGAGCATCAAAAGATTAAAGTCAAGAAAATCCGTTCCCAGGACAACCTGGTGGACGTCTTCACCAACTATATAATTTTTGGTAAAGATTTATTAACTTTTTGACTGGTGGTAAAATTAATATGTAACTTAGCCGAAACTAGGTACTTGAGCTCCAAGTGATTAATGACCAAACGGGCTAGGTGAGTGTCGTATTCCAGAGGGTGAGTTGATTCGAATCACAAAAAAGTGAAAAAAAAAGGCTTGGAATGTATCTGTTAATGTTGGGCCCACTTAAGCCCATCAAAGGATATTAACCCAAAGAAAAGCCTGAGAGCCCAAGGCCCAAGAAGTTTGGAGACAGTCGACCGAGACAAAAGAAAGACTACCGGACCGAGAAAAACATGTGGACACGCTAACAAATTGATGGCGCGACTCAAGCCCAAGCAAGACTCAAGTCCACTGGCGCAGAATTTAAATGGGCCAGGTCGAGCCGGACCGGCCATTTAACACGCTACAAAAAAGTATATAAGAAAGAAAGCGCCAAGCTTGGCTTTCATTTCCTGAAGCCTCAAATTCGTCTCGTGAAATCTCTCTCTCTCAGACAAACTCATGCTTCGCCGATCCCTATTCGGACCCAGATTCAAGGCCAAGAGCCTCTCCATATCCGGGCAGAGGAAGAATCCAGCCCGACCGCCGAAGCTCCGAGGTGAGATCCGGACTTGTTTTGGTATGAATGTTTTTGGATTTAGTTTTAGGGTTAGGGTTAGAGTTAGGGTTAGGGTTAGGGTTAGGCGGGTTAAGGTTAGGGTTAGGGTTGGTGTCTGTGAAGTGGGAGGAAGACTATATGTAATTCGAATTGGCAGCTTTGTAATTTTGCTGTCTCCGTTTGCAATCTGAAATTTGAATGAATTTCTCACCTAATTTTGTGTCTGTGAATACAATAATTCCCATTCCCTTTTTACATTCAAAATAGTATGTGTGTTATGGGTTTATGCATGTAATGATAATACTAATAGCAGCTAGAGAGTCATTTACAATCAATTTAAGTATCGGAATTTGGTTTGATTCGAAAGTAATGAATAAATATATAAGGGTTGATTGATTGGGTAGAATTCTCAACAAAATTCGTTTTGTTGGGAAGTATTAATTTGAAGGTCAATTACATTCGTATGTTATAAGCAGGGCTTTGTTAAGTGATTAAGGGCAGTTAATCTTGCCCGATCCAAATGGATATGTATGTATTGTTAACATGTCTGTGCATTAATTTCCTCAAACAATTGTACAGATGTGAAGAAACAAGTAAAGGCTGTTCAAGAGTCTCAGAGTCCAATCCAACTTGAAAAAGAAGAAGCACAGGCTGTTAAACCTTGTGAAGTTTGTGGTGGTGCTGCTGGTTCCCATCCTAGTGTAGTGTGCCCGTATCTTCATGATGTCCCGTGGCATGTTACGAGTGTTGGCGAGGGCTACAAAATAGCATGTTGGTTTTGTTGGAAGGGCCAGTATTGCAGGCATCTAAAGAGGTATGCTATTCGACTTAGTTGTATGGAGTGAGGAGCGGATGGTCTTCACACATTCTGGGACTGCCCTGAGAGGCGAGGGAAGGGAATTGAGATGCCCTCCGTCCGTCGAGTGAAGCTAATTGGGAGGTCCTTCCGTCCAGGGATGTCATCGTTACGTCGTCCACGGTGGTAACTAGGTTAATTGCCTCATTATTTTCTCTGAGTAGCTTCAGCACTAGCTAGTCCTTGTCTGTTCATGTGTCAGGCGGGTCTGTCTTTGAATAAAAGCATGGATCCGATCCGTTTCGTGGCTGGCGGATGGATAGATACTAATTTCTGTTCGTTGTTGTTTTCTCTTGAGTTTGTGTTTAATTACGCATAGTTGGAGTTACTGGTGGTCTTGGAATAGGCACATGCACTTTTTTTTCAGCAATTACTTAATATGGTAGGGGTAGTATTGGCTTAATCTCCTTGCTTAAATAAATTGAATCGACTTAACAATCTTTGCGATATGCCGCTTATGCCCAAAACCGATATTCTAAGCCACACTGAGTGAAGAACCATGTGAAATATGTTTGTAGGGCTTGGCCGGTCCGTTGAGCGAGAGCTCGCTCAAAATGCCTTATATTGAACAACTTTTGACTGTTTTTAATGTCAGTTTCTACTGAAATATCAACAGTTTAATTTATGATATGAGATGAATAGAACTCGGAAGTAACCTATTCAAAATCAAAACAAAAAATTTCCAAGTTTTTATTAGAGGCAGCAGACCACCCGATACGGCACCTACAAAGCAGAAAATAAAGAAAACACCAGCTCCTAAAAAATGCCCCGAAACGTTGCTCAAGGGGCAAAACACTGTTCCCACGCAAACCCTAGATATACCCTTTTCAGATTTTCAGCTAATTAGAATAGAAAGTTCATGTATTTTCTGCATATTCGACACCGTGAAGGAAGAGTTTATAAACGAAACAGGGAAAAAGGAAGAAGAAAGCATGCGGATTTTTGAACTTGCATGGCGTCCGAGGCTTCTGACGGGCCAGATGGACGAATTTATGAGTTCCTTTTTCTTATGGTTTTTTTCTGTATGATTCATTTCCTTTGAGAATTTTAAATTTTGGCAAATTTTAGAAGTTGTTCTTGTTTGGGATGGGTTGCTTCTGATGAGCACTTTTCTTCTCCTTTACCAGGAGTTGAACATTCGTCACGCTAACTTTCTTGCTTCCTCCCATCCCAGACCATTTTCCATGGTCCGGCTCTTGTGCCCAACCTGCAGTGCAATAGAATTTGTCAGGAAGAAGTTCAAGTTGCGCGATGGCATGAGCTCATACAGAAATTAGGTTACCTCCAAATCCCAGCCATTGTGCGCAATGCCATGAAGAGAATCAGCACAGTCCGGACTCCAGCAAGGCCAAAAGACCGAGAAGCAACAAGTATGACTGGAAGAAATCAGTCCTACTAACACCTACTGAAACCAAAAAAGAGTGAGGGGAGACCATATGGTGTAACCAATGTGTTGCTCATGATCCGGGAATACCATCGAATAGGCAGCATATCCAAAGTCTGAAACTTCGTACTACAGTCCGTCAATAACAAATGCTGGAGCGTTTATTGGCTGAGATCCAGCAACAAGCTAAAAAACAGTATCTGTATCAGGTATGTGTAGCAGTGCAACTAATGTACACGTGATGCAAGTAGTGGTGCATAGGCTTCCAAGTTCCAACAAGTAAACTGCTGAGATATGAAGTTTCTTACCAATAAACCGGACCATGCAATTGCCAGGACTTGTGGGTCTGTGCTGAATAAGCTAGAAAACGCTTTAAAACCGATGAAAAAAATATAATTCCCAAACCAATCTGGTTGAAATTCAAAGAATGTTAAAGGGGATTTGGGGTTAGCTATGATCAATACCATAGGAAAAGGTGGAGGAAAAAGAAGAAATCGATTAACGATGAGAATGAAACAGTGAAAAAGAAATATATAAACCTGTAGAACTCTACAAATAACTAGGCGTGCTTGGTCATAATCTTCTTGCGAGTAACCACCGGCGAGAAGTGTCTTTGAAGAAACATCATCGTCATGATTAAACTAAAACTACTACCTTCCCGTTTTTCACATGTCATATGAATCTTGTAAAGTATCTCACACCTGACCAGCAAGTGCTAAAGCATCGGTAAGCAAAGATACCGTCAAGTGCCAATCAAACTTGAAACCAAATCTGGTGGCCAGCCATGGGACCAGGACCCTCTGCCATGGATGTGGCTAGTGTCGTAGTTACAACCACTGCTAAGCTCCTGCCAATAGGAAGACCCCCTGACAAATACAAAAGACATATTTCGAAAAACTCAAATATCTATTTCATCTATATTTCATAAACAAGGTCACAATGAACCTACCAGATTTACGGTAACCGATGATTCTCCTCCCATCAATACAGGTAGCGACCAGTAGGACTTTGCTATTCAATTTCCACATCAAAATAGCAGCATCAGGTGCCTTTCGAAAAATAGATATCAAGGGTTCTATTAGAAAGAAAATTTGACAAAATTTGACAATGAAGTTTACCACATCGTTGACGTACTCAGAAATCACCGTGGCAATAGCAGCACCGCGGATTCCAAAAAAGAATGTAAACATCAATATAGCATTAAGTAAATTGCCAGCAACTGAGGTAAAATCATAAAAGAGCAGACATTGTCATTTTATGAGTTGAAAAACAGTACAGTTGAGTTCAGAAAGATGCAGAACAATACATGCCAATGGCATACAGAGGTGTCTTTGTGTCCTTAAAACCACGAAATGGGCCTTGTGCGGCAAGTACAATTACAATCGGTGGAGCACCAAATGCCCTTGGGACAAGCAAATTCTCGGCAGGTGTTCGCATTGGTGAATCCTATAACTACAGCAAACCTCAAATAAAGAATCCAGAAACATCATCAGTGAGTTAAACTGAATTGCATAATGTGTAAATGCTACATATCCCACGGTGAGAAAATTTTGCTACTCCGTATGCTAATTTTTCTCTTCCATCCTCCTTATCAACCTACTTTGAAACCTTGTTACCCCTTTCAATTTCATTTGAATACCGTGATAAAGTCTCTATTAACGCAGAGAAGGAAGAAAAAGGTTTGCTACATACTAGTGAAAAAGAGACAGTAAAAACTACCTAAACAAAGACGGCAATACTATACTACAGATGCATTTGGGGAATAAAATAGTACAAAGTAGCATGCAGCAGATAAACTGATAACTGGTGAAGATTGACTGACATACAGCAGATATACCAACGGCATTCATCAAGAGACCCGACGCAAGAAAATGTGCAACAGCTTCAGCAATGCCAATGGTGGCAGCAAGAGCCAACGAAGTTGACACCGAGGGAAGGAGCCCCTTGCTCTGGCTGTCATCCTGGAAATCTCCATAAAACCATTTTAATTAAAGCAAAGAATGAATTGCCTTAGAATTTGTATAAGTCAGGCTTGCTAAGGAAAATATTGAACGAAATTGTGGGCAGCGCCAGGTGTATATAAAAAGATCGACTTTCACTCCAGATGTGGGATAACTTTTGAATGTATAGAGGTAAGTAGACCGAATGCCCACTTTTTTAAGCATTGTGTTGCAAAAAATAAAAAAATCACTGTGAAAGGATGTTGACTAGACCCTTATTGTGGATCCCCAACAAAGGTTTCCAAGTATGAGCACATTTGTTTGACGTTTTTAAGTTTTACCAAACTAGACTCGCTTATTAGTTCGTATTTGGTGCAAATGGGAACTGACTTCAATAGGACTAAGTCGGACTTGTGCCTGCTAAATCATTCACTAGTTGTTCTTGGCGAGTCCCCTCCAAAAGGAGAGGATTGCTAATCTCGTCTCCTAACATCTACCTCGTTTCACACTGTTCTTGTACCAACTGCTTTGTCTGCATCGGCAACCCGCGCTGCTTTACTTCCCCAACCTGTCGCCGCAGCGCCATTCCAACAATTGGTACGTTCTGCCAAATTCTCATCTTCCTCGTTTAATTTCTTATGGAATCTCTCTAGGTCGGTTTAATTTGTGTTTGTCATTTTAGCAAGGTTGTGAGGCTTTTGATTGTCGAGGTGTTGTATTGACAGTGATGTGCCAGAGGCATAAGGCCACTCACCAAGAGGACCAGGGTCATTATTATCTTGCTTTTTAGTCAAACACTACACCAAACGCTTCACTAAGTCAATCTAGCTTTAGTCTAAGTTCGTCCAGCTTAGTCCCTAAGGGCCCGTTTGTTTGACAGGATTAAAAAGGACTGGACTGGACTAGACTATAGTCCTTTGTTTGGTGTGCACTAGGATTAGCTTTAATGAGCTTAGCAGAGATTCGCTCGGATTAAAGACATCCTTAGCCGTTCTTAACGAGGATCCCCAATTTTGGGCGGACTCGTAAGCTAGAGAAAACACAAGAGATTTTCTGCGTCTTCCTTCATCGTCGTCCTTGCCGTGCTCCCTCATCGTCGTCATCCTCACCCTCAATTCTGCGTCTTCGCTCATCTGCATCTGCTCGCCCTCATCTACCTCGAGTTGTCTGGTAAGCTTCGAATCTTCAATTTATTTCGTCGATTTGTGTGGATTAGTTTGTGATATTAACTAAGCTTTATTTGATTTTGTTGTTTTGTGTTTGAGAAATTTTAAATCATAGACCTCTGCACTTGAACAAATTAGGGTTTTGATATTTAGGTGAAATTGAGATTAGAATTTGGGGTTTTCATAAGATGAGATGGAACTTGGGAATTTAGAATGTCAAAGTTGTCAAACTTGGAAGTCCTACCCACATGATGTTTTCGATTTTAAAATTTGGGGTTTCAACAATGGGAGTACTCTGTGCGTGTGTGTGTGTGTGTGTCTGTGCGTGTGTGTGTGTGTTTGTGTACTCTGTGTGTGTGTGTGTAATTTCTCCGTGTGTGTGTGTGTTTATGTGTACTCTGTGTGTGTGTGTATTTAGTTGGTGTGTCTCTGTGTGTGTGTGTGTATTCTGCACATTTGTTTGATGTCCGTGTGTGTGTGTATTCTGCACATTTGAAAGGATAGTGTGTGTGTGTGTGTATTCTGCACATTTGTTTGATGTCCGTGTGTGTGTGTGTGTGTATTCTGCACATTTGTTTTATGTCTGTGTGTGTGTGCATGCGTGTGTGTGTATTCTGCACATTTGAAAGGATAATGTGTGTGTGTGTGTTCTTCATCGAAACTACTTGAGATTGAGAGAAATTTGGTATTTCTTCTCTTGGAAAAGC